ATGCATGGAGGATCGAAATCATATCATAGCATTAGCAATAGCATATATAGCATACATTGTATCTAAATCTGAAATCATATCATAGCATTATCAATAGCAATAGCATATATTCAACAGAGAGAACCGCACTCGATGGAAGCTCAATTACCATACAAAAAAATTAAAACTAATCAAGTTATCAAACAACTCACTCGTAAATCGTAACTAGTATCGAAATGAAATGAACAAAAAAAGAATAGAACACACGGTTAAAAGATCGGATATTACACATGTTAAACACCATAATTGCAGTAATTTAAGTGTGCAATTTACTACTTATATGATGATAATCTATATTGCAGAGCATTTTGTTAAGGATAAAACCAATAATAGATCGAAGAAGAAAGCACATTGTGTAGAGAATAGCCCTTTTCGATTTTTTCAATATGTTGTGGTATAGTCTTCTTCAACTATAGATCAAATAAACCATTGAACAACCATACCAAGCAAAAAAAAGCAAGCACCATTGCTGACCATAAAAACCATTGCACACAAAGAACAATAACAAATCGCCCTAATGCTCTGGCTGCTACACCATGGCGCACAGCACGGGCCGTAGCTAGCTCGCTCAACCCAACACAACAAACATAAACACCACCAATCTCTAACCCTATGACCTCCTGACGCTAGAAGATTTTACCAACCAAGCAAATCGACACCACATCATGTACCAGCATATGCAAATCGACACCATATTGCAATGCTCCTCCGGATCTGCTGGATCCCCTATACTTCACCTGGATCCAATCTTCTACAAGCAATGCAAGCCTCAAATCCTAGCTCCCCCTCAATCCCAGCCGCAAATCGAACCAGACCCAAAGATGGAGGCAAGTCGCACTGCTCTGGCGCTTATCCTACTACCCTCGAAAGCGGGGGACTTCTAAAACCCACAACAAAATCAAACAAGCGCAAAATCAAGGGGCTAAATAAGCTTAAATCACCCCTCATCCACCTCGCCGACATCATCCCACCCCACCTTGCTTCCGCCCGATTGCTCGTCATTGCCGGCCAAGCAATTTATTACACAAGCAGACTCATCCTCGGCGAGACAACGCCCGTCTGTGTGAGGAAAAAGCAAGCGACTCATCCTCCATGAAATCGAACCACAAATACATCAAAGATGCAATCAAATCAGAGATCTATTGAACCATAAACACAGATGACCCAAAAAACAGAGCTCGAATCAGGGAAAGAGAGCGGTAAGAAGAAGGTACTCACGACATCAAGCTATATGGCGGAGCAATGAGCCTCCGAATCGCCGAGGAGGAGACGCCGACGAGCCTCGACGCTATGGCGGAGCAATGAGCCTCCGAATCGTCGAGGAGGGGACGCCGACGAGCCTCGACGGGAAACCACGGAGAGGCGAGAACAATCGCCACCGCGACGAGCTCCGTAAAGCACGATACCTTTTTATGCGCGGGGATCGAGGAATACTAACGATCTCCGAATTGGGTTCTCGGTCCGTTGGGTAGTAGCGGATGCGGCCTCTCGGTGTCCGGACCCGATAAGAAAGATCGTACCCAAAGCGAAGACAGATCGCAAACTCCATCCAACGGAGGAGGCATCGCTCAAACAGAGATGATTTCAAAGCGATCGCATAATAGGAAATGTGGAAAACTAAATAGAGAAAATAGAGTGCTCATGGGGAATAAGCACAACGGCATCGTCATGTGGAATTTGTCCCAGGCTCCAATATAGGCTTACAGCTGCAAAACTTGTCTACACTATTGACCCTGCTGGCAACAAGTGTCATCGAAATACATTTTTGAGAAAGATAGTAACTGGATGCTCGTTCAATAACTTGACAATTTAAAAATCGATGAACACAAATAATATCTAGCTCGATCATAAACAGCTTGAAGTTGGTACAGGGCTTCAAAGAAATAAATAATCATAGCATACAACTAAATAGCAAGAATGACATCTCTGCCTTTATCAAATTCAAAAAGAAATAGATCAGTGATACAATCATGAGTTATCGACTTGTGCAGAACAATATAGTTACCATTACATAGCAGCATGCATGAGACTGAGCCGAGCTACCAAAAAATGAACTCATCGCCAAACAAAACGCACGGACAACAAATGCTGAAACTGAAAGTAGCAACCATTCCAGATCACTGTTTGCTCAGCTCAGCTCTTGCTAACAAGTACTAATACTAGTCTACCAAGCAGACACCACCACTGACACATTCACACAACATACTACTTAGCACTACTATTTCCTACAACGTCAATGCTCCATCAGTAGCTAAGCTACATCAGTACGCCCAGAACCTGAATTAGATGTTCAGGGACCTTCCACTTCGCGCCCAGAGTATATCCATCAGGAAGCAGCTGGGCAAGCACAAATGCCTGATGCACCCACTTCAGACATTGAACAAAGATCAACCAAGCGCCCCCAGCCGCCATACCTGCCTGCTGCGAACAAAGCCCATGCGCCCCCTCACCCCCAGCCGCACCAAATCAACAGCCACAACCCCCGCAGCAACCATATCACAACTAAACAAGGGGCCATCGGCACCGGATCCATGGATGACTTCACGTATGACTTCGAATCACCAAGGTACCTAGAGCACCAGATGCGGATCCATCGGCGCCGGATTTACCAACTACAGAAGCCAAGGCAGGGCGGGGAGGTGGTACAGGAAATAGCGCAGGGGCGGCGGCGTGACGTGGGAGGCGAAGGCGGAGGCGAGCCGTGGGGACTTGAACGGGCGGGCCGGCTGCAGCACCTCGCCACGGTGGTCGTCGTCGCTGGCGACACAGCGGACACGGGAGGACGACTCGGCGGCAGCGGAATTGACGGTGGCCCAGCGGAATGCGGATCCAGCAAACCCAAACAACGAAGATTCCATGGAATCGAAGGAAGAAAAAGCAGAAGCAACGAACCTGGGAAGAATCGCCTCTCCGACCATGGAGAGTGTTGCAGGGAGGAAGACTGGGGGAAATGAGGCAGCCAGACAGACGCGACTCCCAATTTGAAACAGTACCGAAGGTGGGCCATCCAAATCCGAGAAAGAAACGGACAGACGGAAGGATACACACGATGCCCATCGAACGGCCATAAAAAACGTGTGCCAACAAACAACAAAACACACGTGTGTCATATAGCATTTCTCTTTATTAAAACCAACCTAATTGGGCCAAAACACACGTGTGTCATATAGCATTTCTCTTTATTAAAACCAACTTAATTGGGCCACTCTTGTGCTGACTTGGTACCAAATATGTGCTTTGAAATGGTCTTGGCCTGCATGCTCTTTCGCTTGTCCGGTGCTTCATCAGCGTCGCAGCTCACCACCACTCAATCTGGCCCACAAAAAGGACCCGGGTTTCTTCGTTCCATGGCGGCTTCGTTCGGGCCGAAGCGGGAACGAACTAGCGTGCGTACGTGCTTTACTCTGTGGCCGCAGTGTGGGGTGGCGGCACAGCTCAGTCCCTTGGACCTTGGTCGTCGACACGCGACGGCGACTCCGCTGGCTGGTTCATCCATCATCGCCCGGTCATCGCCATATGACGCCATCGCGAGCGCGCAAATTAAAGCTTCGCCCGGCTCGCGGCTGATTGTGAATCTGTGAGCTGTGAGACTGTGACCGACCCTCCTCCTGCCGCAGTGCCGCGGGGGGCAGCGTTGATCCTTGAATCTTCTCGGCCTACGGCTACGAGCGCGGGCTGGCGGCAGGTGCATGACGGCGGCGACGGGGAACGCGAGGTGGCTTTACCATACACGACACCCAGGGGCCAGGCACGCGCTGTTGCAGCTAGTAGCTCTTCATTGGTTTTGGCTTTGAACATGTGGATGGAAGCCAAGAGGCAGAGCGTACGAATGTGCAAGAGAAACCCGAGGGCATTCATCAGGAACGTGTCAAAGCTCGATCGAACGGGACATTGGGTGAAGCCTGGGGAGAACCCTATCTAGCTGGTTGTCCCTCGGACTTGTCGGGTGGCAGGCACAAAACCTGTCGATCGGCAGCCACGATGCAAATAAGAGGCTTATTAATGAGCTGATGTCAGCACAGGCTCACAGCCTAGCGGTGATCATGCATGTATATATAAATATAATATAATGTATATACAGCTTGTGCTCCCGCAGTATGATACCTTGACAGCATTTAGTTTAGATGATTCGTTTTGTTTATAGGGTGGACAAGATACAAATATTTAAATCACTTTTTAGATTTAGTCTACAAATTACAGATACAACATGAATCTCAGATAGATTAAGATAGAGTTATACCAAACAGGCACATCACCACATTGTGGCACTCTCAACATGCTGTTGTAGGGTCCGTTTGGATGTGAGGATCGTTTCGGATTCTCTTCGTAATCACTAAAAACACTTCCAAACTGTCAGACACGGTACTGATTCTAGGTATCCAATGATTCTCTCTTTTTGTACTAGACTAGAGACCAGAATCACCTCCAGAGTAGTTTCTCCGGGTTCTTACCATTTTTTTTGTAAACATATAGGAGTATTTTTATGAATTTGTTTCATGTAAATCAATGGTTTTCGTCACCCTTCAAAGAATCAGAATCCGACCAGCTAGCCAAACGATTTGAGAAAGTGGTTTTGATTCACATGAAGAAACTTTCAACACGTTGTACTCATTGAATGGGAAACCACGCACGCAAGTTGTATCCCGCGGGCCGCGGGTGTTTAATTTCTACGTGACGATATTGCCTGGCTCGTTCACGCCCAACTTCCCAAGTCGCCAAGTCCCTCTCCCTAGGGTGACGCCTTCCCAGTCCGTCGAGGCCCATATATACCGATCCTCACAACGCTGAAAAGCAAAGCTGTCAAAACGCTGAAAAGTCTCGCAAGCACACAAGGCGGCGCTGTGACAGCAACGCGCATATATAGCTAGAGCTAGCTGGGTCTCTTTACTTCTTTAGCTAGCAATAGCAAGGCCACCACCGCCTCGCCTCGTCACTTCTCCTGCGTTGCCGCCGGCGCGGCGATGGCGCCGTTCATGAACGCCGAGGAGCTGGTGGTGACGCTGGCGCCGGTGGCCGTGTACTGGGTGTACGCGGGCATCTACGAGCTGCTGCTGGCGCGCACCACGGTGCTGGACAAGTACAGGCTGCACTCGAGGCGGGACGAGGAGACCAAGAACATCGCCTCCAGGAAGGACGTCGTCAGAGGGGTGCTCCTGCAGCAGGCCATCCAGGTCGCCATCTCCGTTGCCGTCCTCAAGGTCAGTACTCAGTAGAGCTCTCCCCACTCTTCAGTATCCATCTTATGCATTGCACTTGCATGCATCTCTGATCGTCGATATCTAGCTAGTTATTAGGGAGGTTTCGAGCATCCATGTACAATTTATTGACCATTAGGGTGCCGCTAAGACGTGTTGTATCGAATATTTTATTTTCTCTACCTTAATACAGAGACGTGCAAACCTTTTGTGTGTTCAAGAAAAAAGCTACTTATTAGGAGAAACGAGGAGTATTAACCAAGCAAAAAAGAACTTGCTGTCCTCGCCCTGGTTTGCATGCATGCTGTTGGACCACTCTAAAAACGCACTTTGTTTTTTTTTCTTCATATAATAACATAGATAGACAGACAGGATGTGATTACATACTAGTAGTTTCAATATCAATAAAATAGGGCTCTAGTTTTATTATCTTTTAATTGACATTGCCCAAAGCCAGACAAGTCACATCTCTGTGACTCCGCCTCACCGTTCCAAGAAGAAACAAGATGTTATATAAGCACAGCCGGTGGGCGGTGGCGTTATATATGAATGAACAGTAATATCTAATAAAACGTGGCAAAATAATGGGGATGCTTAACGACAAAAGAGAAGCTCGGTGCTGGAGATATTTTATATACTCGGCCTCAATCAGTGATAAATACTCTATAGAATATCGCTCTCTCTGGTCAGTCCTTCAATTCTGAGAGTCCCGTGGAGGAAAGGAGTGCCAGTGTGTGACTGCCCGGAAGCTCCACCAGCTCTGTCGTCGTGCAGGCAACCAGGGATTAGTCAAAACTAGGGTCAACCATGTGCTTGCAATGCACGCACGACATTAAAGGCAACCTGTGACAAACAATTGTGTTGGTAAGTCATAGCTGAAAGTATTGTTGGCTGATTTATTGTGAGAGAAAAAATACTATTTGTTACTGAAAAAGTATAACTTATAAACTAAGCGAAGAGGATAACAGGCACCAAAGTTTGAAACGGCTGCCAAACCAGCATCAGCCTCGATTTCACACTCAGAAAGATGTGTTTTGGATTGTTGCTGACATGACCACGCGCGTAACTAACCTACTACTACCCGTTCTTTAGGTTCTTCCCCTAGGTGTTTTGTTCATTCTTTTCACATGGCTTAAGATTTCAGATTTGACACGAAACGCCTACTAGTGCTCCCATTGGCCCCATATCACGCAAGCTTGTGAGTGCTTGACACAGCCACCGCCCACCGCAGACTTCAGTCAGCGTGGCCTCTGGCAGTCCATGCACAGGATTGGGGAGGGGGACGTCTCGCCTGCATCTGAATGGTTTAGCAGTTAGCCTGACAAGCATTGAAGACCGGTCTGCGCTCTGCGCCGCTCTGGTCAATGCTGGCCGTGTCCACGCAGCGCAGGCACCGCACCAGCCCGTGGCCATTCACAGGGCAGCCGCCTGCTGTACATTGTGTTAATTACTCTTTGGATCATCTAGTTGTGGATCAGTGAGGTTTCAATGGATTTCTCGTAGTAATGGTGTGAACGGAGAGGGACAGAGAGAGAGATGAAGAGCTAGGGTTAGACACTGACCATCCATTGAGTAGGGGATCCGGCCATCAGGTTCATTGGTGAAGTTCTACGCTAGGCAGCGACGGTCGGAGAAGAGAGAGCGACGTAGTGAAGACCGTGGTGGCGCAGTGCAGTGGCAGCGGCGGTGCTTCCCGTCACTGGCTACGCCCCTCTGTTAGATCGGAGTAGGGTTTCTAGGTGGGGCGTACGGCTCAAGCAAACCTCGTACTGAGAGCCGCCGACCCCACCTCTATTTAATGCGCAGTGTGACGGGGGCCCGCCAACCATAGATGGACTGGGCGCCCCCGATCAGGGCACGAGGTCAAGGCCCAAGTGGCCGTTGGGCCACTGTGGTTGGGAGATCAAACCAACATTCTCCCCCTTGATCTCAACTCAACTTTAAACTTTGACTTTAATCCTTTTCACTTTTATTTGTTCCATCACAGATTAGTGCATAGAGCATGCTTCATCGTCACGGTCAATCGCCGATAGACTTAACAGCTACAATACACATCTCTGTTCTGAAACAGATTCTTTAACTTTGGGCCCTTTATTGTCCGAAAATCATAGGCTATACCATAAACCCATGTCGACTGTGTGTTCTCCAAACACACTGGGTGGTAAGTCATTTGTACGCGGATCCGCAAGCACTTGCTTGTTACTTATATGTTAATACTTTTAGTATGATTTTGGACTTTCTCCTTCACAACGTACAACTTTAACGTCAATGTGTTTGGCAGCACACTTGACCCGTTGTTATAGGAGCGAACTACTTAAATGGTTATTGCTGTTGTATACCATTATAAATTCCGGGTGTAAGTTCTTTTAACCACTTCGCCTATCCTTAAGCCTCATAACAAGCTATATCATGGTTATGCATCTTTGATGACACCACAACTGTTTCTTTGGAGCTTTTCCACAATAAAACTCCAACTGCGAGTGTTAACTACTATATGGGTTTCACTAAACATCTCGCCAAAATTTAACTTTTGTACCCACAACTATTTGAGAGTACTTATTCTTTCTTACTCACCATGAGGCCTATAAATCTTTGCACAATTACAAAACATTCTCAACTCCATTCCAGTGATCTACATCTGGACTGGACTTCTGCCAAAACATTCCGGATACATAAACTGTGTAAGGGTAAGTTCTTGCTTATAAGCATTCAGTAAGCTTCCAACAGCTGAAGCATATAGGACGTCCATTTGATCGATCTCACATTTATTCTTGGAACACTGAAAGTTCCGAAAACTATTACCCTTGACTATAGGAATAGGCGCAGGTTTATTCATATATATACTTTATTTCTTTAGAATCTTCTCTAAGTATACACTTGAGATAGTTCTAATACCCCTTTTCCTTTTATCTCGATAAGTTCCAATTCCTGGAACGAATGATGCTTTACCAAGACCATTCTCATTGAAACTTAAGGACAAGAACTGCTTCTTCTCCAACAGTAGATTAACACCGCTACTAGCGAGTAAGGTGCTACCCACATGCAGGATTAGGAAAATAAATTTTCCATGTTTAAACTTTGCATAAATACAATTGTCCTCTACATTCTCTTTAAAACTCAAACTTTCTTATTGTACTGTCAAACTTCAAAAACCACTGTCTTGGAGCTTGCTTTAATCCATAAATGGATTTCTTTAGGCAACATTGAAAGGTCCTAATGGCTAGAGGGGGGTGAATAGCCTAATAAAAATTTCTACAACAACACTTAACCAAATGGTTAGACAATTATGAGGCGAAGCTAGTGTTGCGCTAGCCTACTCAAAAATGCAAGCCACCTACCACAATTCTAGTTTAGATAGTGTCAATTCACACAAGAGCAATGACACTACCCTATGTTAGTGTGCTCTCAAAGGCTAACTAAAGAGCCACACCAACCAAGCATGCAAGCTCTCACAACTAGCTACACTAAAGAGCTTGTCAACTAGTTTGCGGTAAAGTAAAGATAGTGATCAAGAGGGTTATACCGCCGTGTAGATGAATGAACCAATCAATCACGAAGATGAATAACAATGATGACCAATCACCTCGGAATCAATGATGAACACAATGATTTTTACCGAGGTTCACTTGCTTGCCGACAAGCTAGTCCTCGTTGTGGCGATTCACTCACTTGGAGGTTCACGCGCTGATTGGCATCACTCGCCAAACCCTCAATAGGGTGCCGCACAACCAACACAAGATAAGGATCACACAAGCCACAAGCAATTTACTAGAGTACCTTTTGGCGCTCCGCCGGGGAAAGGTCAAGAACCCCTCACAATCACCACGATCGGAGTCGGAGACAATCACCTCCTCCACTCAACGATCCTTGCTGCTCCAAGCCGTCTAGGTGGCGGCAACCACCAAGAGTAACAAGCGAAATCCGTAGCGAAACACAATCACCAAGTGCCTCTAGATGCAATCACTCAAGCAATGCACTTGGATTCACTCCCAATCTCACTATGATGATGAATCAATGATGTAGATGAGTGGGAGGGCTTTGGCTAGGCTCACAAGGTTGTTATGTCAATGAAAATGTGCAAGAGGGCTCCCTTGAGCGGCCATGGGGCTATAAATAGAGCCCCAATGAAATAGAGCCCGTTGTGCCCCCTTCTTTGGGCTAACGCTGGGTGACCGGACGCTCGGTCCGATCGACCGGACGCTGGCCCTCGGCGTCCGGTCACGTGATTCACGCCACGTGTCCCCCGCTTCAAATGTTGTTTCGTCCGATTTCAACGGTCATGAAGTGACCGGACGCTTTCCAGAAGCGACCGGACGCTTTGAAGCCAGTCGTCGGTCGTTTCGAGAAGCTCCCCGAGGCATGTTTTTTCGACCGGACGCGTCCGTCCACCTTGATCGGACGTAAACAAGCGTCCGGTGCTCAACCCTAGCCATCGTATTCGCTTGAAGTCAGCCGCGGATTGACGCAGCGGCGTCCGGTGCAGCTGATTCGTCCGGTCCACAGGACCGACGCCAAAGACATCATTTCGATCAACTCCATTTCAACTCTTACTTCTTCACCCTTGCTCAAGTGTGCCAATCACCAAGAATTTTGCATCCGGCGCAATAGAAAATAGAAATTTCATTTTCCGAAAGTTGAATCCCTCTCATAAGCTCGGCGGGAGGGAGAGAGGGACCAAACCCATCTCAACCCTACAAACACCTTGTGCACATGTGTTAGCATATTTTCACAAATATTATCAAGGGTGTTAGCACTCCACTAGATCCTAAATGCATATGCAATGAGTTAGAGCATCTAGTGGCACTTTGATAACTTAGCATTCGATACGAAGTTTCACCCCTCTTAATAGTCGGCTATCAAATCTAAATGTGATCACACTCTCTAAGTGTCTTGATCACCAAAACAAAATAGCTCCTATGGTTTATACCTTTGCCTTGAGCTTTTTGTTTTTCTCTTTCTTCTCTTCAAGTGTAAGCCCTTGATCATCTCCATGCTATCACCATTATCATGTTATGATCTTCATTTGCTTCTCTACTTGAAGTGTGCTACCTATCTCATGATCACTTGATGAACTAGGTTAGCACTTAGGGTTTCATCAATTTACCAAAACCAAACTAGAGCTTTCAATCATCCCTTTACGTTCTTTTCCTTCCACGACAAAACCTTTTAAGTTATGCCATGTAAACGTTTCCATACAAATCCTCGTTGAGGAATGTGTCTTTACATCCTTCTGATGTAACTGTAAATCGTAATTTGTCACTAATACCATTATGATTATAAAAGAATCCTTGCAAGCTCATTATAATATATTCCTTCTCTTTGTGTAAATCATTTCGCCACAAGTGGTGCTTTATAGCTTTTTATATTTCCTTTGGAGTCACATTTATCTTGTAGACCCATTACAGCCTACTGTGTTGGCTCCATTTGGAATTACTTCTAAGTCCCAAACATCATTGTTATTTATCAATTTCATTTCATCTTCCTTTGCTTCTTGCCATTTAGACGAGTGAACGTCTCTCATGGCTTTCTCAAATGAGGTGAAATTATCCTCTATTTGAATTTCTTTCTTAACATTGACTTCTTAGTTGCCAGAAATATCTGATTTTCTTATTCTTTGAGACCTTCTGGGGCCTCGTGGCACTTCTTTCATATGGGGCTATTGTTACTCTTCATTGCCAAAAGGCAATTGTTCTATAGCCTCCTGTATCACAAGATCCTTGTTTACTTATTCATCTTCTTTAAGAGCTAACATCTGGTGTTGTATATATCATACAACATCAGCATGTATAAGGCAATTTGTTGCTCTAAAAAACATTGTAGTGGATATGTAATCCCACTTCTATTCAAGCCTTAGGTATCTACATACCATGCTCCCCCAGATTACTCCATCTTCTGAAAAGATGGTGTATCTTTAAATTTTTTATTTTGGGTTTAATCTGCTAAAAAACTCATATGGCGCGTTTAGCACCGCCTTGATAACTCTGAACTCGTCCAGTATAAATACTAGCCGACTATGCTATCTTCCTATCGGAACTGTAAAAGGTCCAGGAATTTAGCTATTTCTTTACTTTAGGGGTATCGTTATTATGACCGTCTTACTCCCTCACCGATCACATTCATCTTTTATAGATCACTTTTACCTTCAATGCATAGTATGCATTGCATTATCTGAAGTATGGGGAAGTATCTTTCTTAATTGTCTTTCTTAATTAATCTTATATTTCTCCCCCTCGAAATATGGTATGAACTTTTCTACCACAATTTTGAAACATTCAGAACTCTTGTGAATGAGGAAACTTTGATTACTTCATCCATATGATTACATCATGCAAACAAAATTCGTATAGGAGTACATTTTCCTCATTACACTTCAAAACTCAACATAGTCTATTATTATCAATACTTCTGCAAGTCACACTTGCATATCATTCTTATCTTTTGGTTCACATGCAACTTTCTTTTGTTCTTAAACTCGTTGAGTGCTTAATGACCATGACACAATCAGAGTGTACGATCAATACTAGGATAGCATAAGAGCTATCACAAACTTCTCTCCATGTGCGGGATATTTCTTTAGAGCACATGAGTCATCACATCCTCCTCCCGCCATGCGGGATAAGTACTATGCCAAACTCTCCCGCCATGCAGGATTGGTTAACATATGTACTATGCCAACTTTACCCCGCCATACGGGTATTTTCTCAAACTTTTCCCGCCATGCGGGTACTATCACAAACTTTTTCCCGCCATGCGAGATATTCCTTTGAACGGACATAATTGCCAGGATTGGCTCGTGTTCAATCATTAAATTCAGAAATAAATCTGAATATTCTTTTAACACACATGTTTAATCCAATGTTAGTCAAATTAAACATGTATATGACTTTTACAACTCTCATAAGTGAAACTGAAAATAAATTCTTCTCCACAGAGAGTACATAAAAAGACATTTCTCAATGAAGACTCTCATTGATCTATCTCTTTTCTTGGATCAATATCCTAGAATTCTTTTCTTTTGAGGTCATTCTTTAAAGAGAACACATTCCCTTAACCAATATCATTCTTTCATACATTAACTTGCCCTTAGGCATTTCATCATCTGAGTCACAAGTACCCAGCTTATTTCTCTTTCTGCCTTCAAGAATGAAAGCATGGAGGTCTTTTGTCTGAAAAATATTCAACAATAATGCTCATTAAACTTTGAAAACTTTATGTTCTATTCTATATCACCGTTGGGTAGAAATAGAATAAAACATCATTCTTCTACATTAATTTCACATCACCGTTGGGCAGAAATGGAATTAACGTATAGAAATTCAATAATCTTGAAAACATAGAACTGCTCCTCAAAATTAAATTCTCCCGTTGGTTCGAATTTAATTAGAAGACAATCAACTTTATTGCAGCGGAAACATGAAAATACTTTCTCTAGTTTAAGAGCATTCGTTGATCTTTATCTATTCTCTGAAAAATTGATCACTTTGATGCAAAATTCATTAGAGATTTAAACTTTAAACATAAAACTCATAGAATTATAATATTGTTATCATCAACGTTGGTCAGAAAATAACAATACCATAATTTAACTTTAAACTTAAACTCATAAATAAACTTATAATATTGTTATCATCAACGTTGGTCAGAAAATAACAATATTATAATTTATCTTAACTATCAACCGACTATTCCTCCAATTAAAATTTTCCAGCTGATTCTAATTTTAACTAGAGGATAAACTTTTCATCATTTACTGAATAACTATAACTGCTCTTCAAATTAGAAGACAATAAACCTTTAACTTTGCAGCGGAAACTTGACAAAATTTCTTTATCTACTTTTCAGAAGCATTTTACTATATTTTTTTACTCTCTGGAAAATCTAACACGTTGGTGCAATTTTACCAGAAATTTAAACCTTCAAAATCATTTAAATCTGCTTCTGAAAATGATAAACAAAAAACCATGAGCTACCCTTTAATTCTATTCTTTTGGCCCACCTCAGAAAAGTGGCATGCGGCCCATTTGCTGCGGCTTTTGCTGCCCACTCTGCACACTCGCCGCCTGTGGGTGGGCTAGCAAAGACAAGAAGAAGTTGAAGCAGACACGCTGCCCGCTGCTCAAGACCGAGCGTTAACGCCTTTCGCTCTCCGCGCGCCCAAAGCCGCAACTCCTGGGCTGGGCGGGAATTCGCCCTCACTGGGCCTCATTCAGCCCGGTGAATCGTGGCCATTCATTTTGATTGGACGGCCATGCACGACTTCCGCGGGATCAAAACCCCGCCCGCCGGCCGCCCCTCCCCAAACCCTAGCTCATTTCGTTCTTCCTTTCTCTCCCTCCGCTCTTCTCACGCCACCGGCAAGCCGCCGCAAGGGAGCTCGACGTACCGGTGCCAGGAAAGGAGCGTTCGGCTGGAGAGGATGGCGCCGCCGTGAGGCCTTCTTCACGGCATGCGCGCAGCGTCAAGGCAACTGGCATGCCTCGTCGAATGGCCTTGCGACCGGCGCCCCTTTTTGTTTCGAGTTTCAGCATACATGAAAGCACAAGACAACAGCAGCAGCGTGGCTCCTCGATCTGGATGGTGGCGAGCTCGCAAGATAGGAGATCGGCGGCGGCCGTCGGGCCCTCTTTTCCCATGCAGATGATGGCGGTTGCGACATGACGAGAGAACTGTGTAGGTCCCTCCCCTCCGTCCATCTCTCTGTGTTCATTTAGGGTTAGGGTTACGGGTACCCCTCCCCTTTCTCTCTATTCTTTGCTTTTGATTCGGAAAAACCCTAGATCTACACCCTAGGGTGGCGAACTGCTAGGGTTAGGGTTCTTTAGGAGGGTAATCCGAATCGAATTTGAATCCCCTTCTTTCTTTTCCTTTCTATCACCCGATTAGGGTTTAGGGTTCGATGAACCCTCTGTAATTCTTTTCTTTCGATCCGAACCGGATCTAACATATCTTTTCTTTTCTAATTTTCGCCCCTGACAAGATCCACGCCTTGGGAAACCGGCTCTGGTACCATTGTTAATTACTCTTTGGATCATCTAGTTGTGGATCAGTGGGGTTTCAATGGGTTTCTCGTAGTAATGGTGTGAACGGAGAGGGACAGAGAGGGAGATGAAGAGCTAGGGTTAGGCACTGACCATCCATTGAGTAGGGGATCCGGCCATCAGGTTCATTTGTGAAGTTCTGCGCTAGGCAGCGACGATCGGAGAAGAGAGAGCGACGCAGTGAAGACCGTGGTGGCGCAGATGCGATGATGGCGGCGTGTAAGCAGCGTCACTGGCTACGCCCCTCTGTTAGATCGGAGTAGGGTTTCTAGGTGGGGCGTACGGCTCAGGCGAACCTCGTACCGAGAGCCGCCGACCCCACCTCTATTTAATGCGCAGTGTGACGGGAGCCCGCCAACCATAGATGGACTGGGCGTCCCCGATCAGGGCACGAGGTCAAGGCCCAAGTGGCCGTTGAGCCACTGTGGTTGGAGATCAAACCAACACATTGTACACACGTACGTACGTGCACTCCATTTGCATGCATTTGTTGCGCGCGTTCGTGCGTCGTGTGAACTACAGCACGTAGGAGTTATCATGACATCTAGTATCACGGGGCGTCCTTTTCTTTGGAATCCATGCATTTCTGACCGTCGTCATTTATGCCGGCTGCTTGCATGCATGCACCCACCTAATACTGTACTAATCTTTTTACGCCCGTCATTGTGCAGCTAGAGGGGGGGCACGGTGCCGCCGCCAACGACACCGACGACAGTCTCGCGGCGCCGGCGGCGGAGCCGTTCCTGGTGGTGGCGGCGCGGTTCGGCGTGGCGATGCTGGTGCTGGACGCGTGGCAGTACTTCATGCACCGGCTCATGCACTCGGTCCCCTACATGTACCGGCGGTTCCACTCGTGGCACCACCGCGTGGCGGCGCCGTACGCGTACGCGGCGCAGTACGGGCACCCCGTGGACGGCGTGCTCACGGAGACGCTGTCGGGCGCCGCCGCGTACCTGGCCTCGGGGATGCCCCCGCGCGCCGCCGCGGCCTTCTTCGTCTTCGCCACCGTCAAGGGCGTGGACGATCACTGCGGCGTCGCCGCGCCCTGGAACCCGTTCCACGCCGCGTTCCGGAACAACACCGCCTACCACGACGTGCACCACCAGCGCGGCGGCGGCCGCGTCAACTTCTCCCAGCCTTTCTTCGTCGTCTGGGACCGCCTGCTCGGCACGCACGCGCCGTACGCCCTGAGACAGAGGCACGGCGGCGGGCTCCAGGTCAGGGCCTTCAACAAGGATCGTCACATGCAATAGTAGTATCTTGTTGCACTGCAGGTTGGCGCCACGCTACGCCAGCCTCGTTCACCGTTTAGTTTTGGCTTGTAGCAGGAGTGTCTGTAGTGCCGCCCATGCCCACCAGGCCACCACACCATATCCTGTGCAACTTCATGTATAGGTATTGCGTACAGAAACAATAATGTAATAACAGCCGAATCCATCAACTTGGATTCTGCCTCTCTCTGATGGTAGCAAGCTTCAGGACTGTTGGCACCTCTCCCCGTTGCGAGATGTACAAAGATTGCAGATATAAACGCTTGAGACTTCGCACTCCAGGAACATCGAACATGCCGATCACAGAAATACTTGCATCTGACATTTAAGTTTAAACTCACACATGACACGCCTGGCAGGCAGATCATACTGCAGCCTGCAGGGCCGGACCTAGCGCCCCCATGTACATACATGAAAAAAGGTAGTACATGCCTTTCGTCAGGGGCGAACGAACCCACCCAGTGCTCTACAGCAGCCTGCCCGGGTGATCCAGGTGGTCGCTGCAGTTGGTCGACGCCACGGCGGAGAGCTCCAGCTTCCCCGTCCATTCCTCGCCGGGCTTCAGCGTGATGGCCCTCTCGACAGCGGCCGCATCCACGCACAGCATCTGCTTGTACTCGTCGTCGCCAAAGTCTGTCATCGTCTTGGACTTCTTTTCCCAGGGGTTCCACACAACTGAATGCAGCCGGCCAAGATAAAAGTGCAGGAACACGGTTACGGAATTGTGTTATCCTGTTCGACGAGGCAGCAAAAGCGTATCATCTTACCGATATCAGGGAGGCCTTCTTTTCGGACGATGAACGTGCGTTTCTTTTCATGGTCAAGAACAGCTATTACGCCTGGGCAGCCAACATAGACTCGATCAACCTGCACCAGTAGTTACCACCTTCAGGTCTAAAAATGGAACAATTAACTAGAGAGACTCAACAGCAGGCAAGAAGAATAAGCAAACTTTGACAAGCTGAGCTAATAAGACTTGAAACTAATTCCAGACACCACCCTTTGAGCCTTCGTCTCAACAAAAGAATTGAGAAACCACTCATACTTCATCAGTGGGGCCAATTCAAGATTGTTGAAAGTTTCCAGATGGCAACTACCAGTTAAATCTCAAAAGTATTCCAACCACGACAGGACAGCAGGTTAGGGCTACTTGCACATAGGAGACTAGGAGTAGTCAGTAGAGAGAACTGCAATAAAGTAAACTCAGAGAGCTCTTTACAATCACGAGTTGATGTGTGCAAATTCATGGGTGCAACCCTAGGCTGTAGCCATGTAGCCAAAAGATAATGGTAGCATATTTACTCTCGATGAACTGATCCCATATAGCTGAAATGCTCAAATAAACCCCACATATTCGTGTTGCATGTATATCAATACAGAGGAAAGGTACCTCTGATTCAAATGTTATAGCATCTCCCTGTTCGGTAAAACGTTCCCGCTGGCTAAGGTTGTCAAGATAATCAAGGGTCTCCAGACCTTCTATCCTCACTTCACTGGAATCAAGGTGAAAAGTATCAACATATGTATAATATCATCAGTAAAATGTCTAGAATCATCTGGAAAACAGAATGCTTCTTTGTTCTTCTGAATAGTAACAGATCATCGACTGAGAAGAATACTCTATGCTTTACTGATTGTGAAAGTATGTTAGGCATAGCTCTAAATGTAATTTGGTGATAACTAAGCCTCAAGTTAGGACCATACATTTCTTCATGATAATAACATATCAGGTTTCTTATTTGATCAATCTGGTTTTGTGGAATTAGACATTTTGTAAGCAAGGTATACCAACCGATTAGGTCAACGACATTTGATGTCAAATTCAGATTGTTTCATTCTGAATTTGCATGAACATTGTCAATTTACAGCACAAATTTCACTTCTACAGTTCATAGAAATTTGAAGGTTTGTACGCCTTCTGGTGCAAAATGTGATAACCAAGAAAAACATCAAAGATTCTAATAGTTAGTTATTTTTTCCCCATAGGAAAATACTCTGGTTTTGACCCGTCTCATGTGGAAAAAAAAAACATTAATGCCGATGACCTAAAATATGAATTGACAGATAACTTAATCGAAAAAGGGGCAAAAAAATCATCACATCAAGTTAACCATATAAGAAGGAATTCAATTGAATAAAATAGGATTAACCATCCAAATAATGCCATACCTGATGTCAGAAACAGAAAGGTGTGTATGATAAGCAAATGCAAAACTGAATGGCTTCCCATTAACATTCCTGACCCGTGATATCAGTGAAAGGTCTCCATCCATTGAAAGAGAAACTCTGAGACGTAACTCAAAACTGTAATTCAAATTAAAACCAATCAGGAAAAGAACATCCATATTGAAATTGACTCATGTTTTCACTTAAAGCATAACTTTGTCTATAAAAGACTGAATCATACTACTTGCTAAAGGTACAGGTTCACAGCACACATAATTTCATTAAATGGGTATGCTTGCTAAGAAATAACCATTAATGTCCGTTGTCTGTGAACTCAGAGAAATCTAGCGTACTATTTTTATTGCAAAACTAAGTGACTTAGCTTTGAGTAGAAGCACTGAATTATTGTGCACAGAGCATCCCATCTACAACCCAACAGGTGTTGCCTGCAGATTCCTTTTTTAAGCAAAAGGTGCACATGGAAAGGAATCATGGATGAAGCAACATGCCTTTGAATTTATCATGGATGATTGAGAGAGAGAAAACTAAAAAATAGTAGCTTCTTTATTCTTTAATTTATTACACATTGCTACTCCCTTGTATACATCATGAAAAAATTGACACATCCAGGTTCTGATAGATCATAGTCATTTGGACAATTTTCTACATCAAAATCTAAAGGGAGTACAAGACATCATACCAGTGTGGCCAACACTTCAGGTCATCTTCAGATGGCTTTAGCAGAAAGTCAACAGAAGCTTTGTTGTTGTTGTTATCACCATAATTTAGTGGTGGAGCCTCATCATCTATTGTCCATATCTTGTTCCTTGCAAATCCATGCTGCTCCAATGTTCCACAGTTTCCAAACTGATAAATTTAAACATTCAAAACATTTAGAATCGTCCTCGCTTCAAAAGCAGAATTGCATGAATGCTCAATATTGTCCTAGTACAGAACACAGTGGACAGCAGGAATATTGCAATACCTGTGGGAAGCATATTGGAATGCCACCACGTGTCGCTTTTGGCGGCTTGAAGAATGCCTGCATGGGAGAACAATAGTTGCCAAAATTCACAAGCCAGTTGTTGAAGTAAGCACTGAAAGTTATTTGTGCTCTCAGCAGGGGACATCAGAATTGATAACAACTCTCTAATGCCCAAAGCCCAAGTACAGAGAAAAAAAATGTTTGCTAGTATTATAAGGATAAAAGGGTAACAGATAACTAATCCAAATGGCCATTCTGATGTCTGCATAAGAAATTTGCTAATCCACCATATAGAGTGAATCAATGATTCGACATTGCTTTTGCCCAGTCACATAGAGTAGCTACGTATTTAGTGACTCCGTGAAACAGAAACAAGGTAGGTGTAGTATTTAATCACCACTAGTCTTGCTTTTCTAAATTATACATCCAATTGTAGAAGCAAACAAAAAATGTTTTTTGTGAACATTGGTACGAAATATTCACGAGAACAGTAATCAGGAGAGTGCATCCACAGTTGGTCACAGTCACGGCACCGAATCGTCCCCCCCACCCCCATACGAACCAGCATCGGCAGCCGAGACAAACTCACCTTGCTGCTGCTGAAGAGGAGCTCCTCGCCGCGGTGGTTCCTCCACGAGACGACCTGCCCGCCGTGCAGGCAGACCTGCGCCGACAACCGAACGCTCGCATCAGACCGAGACAACGAAGCTTTTCTGCCTAGACCAGAAATGCCGATCGCCCGTCGCCCGTCGGAAATATAGCCAAAAAAAAAAATCCCAGGCAGAACAGAAGCGACTCACCCGGACGGAAGCCCCCCGCGGGGACCGGATCGCGACCTGGTCGGCGCCGTTCCAGTCCTTGGTCACCTCGAACCCCGTCCGCTGCTCGGAGCAATGCCCCATGCTCATCAACCGGGGGGAGGAGGAACACCACCAGGCACCAGCAACCTCTCGCGAGAACCGACCAGCCACCCACTGCCTTCCCGGCGCACGCAACGCAAGCGAGGTAGAGAGGCACACGAGCGAGCGCTCGGGTCACGCGCAAAGCTACAACCACCTACCAACCTAGTACTGCTCCGCTTCTAGCGCCAGTCTACCACCGCCCCAACAAAGCGCTGGAGACGAAAGCAACGGCAGCAGGGGTCGCCATTGGAACAGCTCGGATGTTACGGCTCGCTCGCTCCGCTCCCCTTCCCCAACGCCTCCCTCGGTCCCTTGCCTTGTGAGCGAGAGGAGAAAGGAAAGCGAAAGGCTAGGCCCAAATCTCGTGACACCTACGGGAGCAGAGCAGCGCAAAGCGGCGGGCCTTTTCTTTCTTTCTTTCTTTCACGCCGCGCACCACCAACCACCGCTGCCACCACCACCCCGGCAAGGAACGGCGCGCGGCAGCAGGCAGCAGCAGCACGGGGTTAGCTCTAGCTAGTGGTGGCGGAAGAGGCGAAGAGCCTTCGAAGGGGAGGGGACGGAGGGCCGGAGACGGGAGATCTGCGTCGTCGTCCTCTGTCAAAAGCGGCACGCACATGGCGGGGTGGCGTGGCGAGAGCGCATCATGGGAGCCACCTCGGCGTTGCCGTGGGACGGGCCAAGGATCCGAGGGAACAGCTGGAATCCGAGAAGCGCGGGGTGGGTGGTGGACCGGTATTGGAGCGGGTTTGGGAGTAAGGTTTTTAGTAAGGATACCCGCACCCGGTAACTGGAGTCATGAGCATCCTGTTCGGTTGGTTGGTTCGTATCGTTGCTGGTTCGTTTATGTAAGAGAGAAGTACTGCTGGCTGGTTCATATGAACAGTGTCCATGAGAGGGGGCTGGCCAGCCCCCACCAATTTGACCAACACGCCCATATCGCTTTGGTTCCCGGTTTCTCTCGTTGAAAATTTACGATCGTTTACGACAAGCCACGGGCTGATGAACAACAAAACGGGTGATGAGTCCGCTGCTGGTTGAAGAAGTATCGAGAGGAGAGAGCCGAGGCGAGGGGTTGGGTTTGTGTGAGGGAAAATCATCGGGTTCGGTGATTTAAAATTTCGAATCGATGGTAAACGAGGGAGACAACGATTATACGGGCTGATGACGCGAAAATCACGGCCCTCACGCCCGGCCCACGGAACGCTATTTGGGTGATGTTGTGAGTTCCGGTTATGGTTGGTTCTTCAGAGGTACCGATCTAGGGACCCCGCCTCCTTTATATAGTAGAGAGGAGAGTACTAGTCGGTTACAAAGTAGAGATCCTAGTAGGATTACGTAACTAGTTCTAGTAGGATTACATGTATGGAATCCTAATTGACTAGGTCTTCTTCTCTCTTCTCCGTGGAAACCCCATGGGTCCCCGTGATCGACAATGGGTACAACAGACGACAACATGCGCCAGACAAGATGCCACGCTGCAAGCGCTGCGCTTTATGACACGCCGTGGAGTGGCCAAGCCCTTGTTTAGTTTCTCCAAACTCCTGAAAAGTGCACTATGCAAAAAGAAGATTCTCCGTCACATCAAACTTGCGGTATATGCATGGAGTACTAAATGTAGACGAAATCAAAAACTAATTGCACAGTTTGCTTTAACTTTACGAGACGAATCTTTTGAGCCTAATTAGTCAATGTTTGGACAATAATTCACAAATACAAACAAAATGCTACAGTAGAGAAATCTTCACTATGCAAAGTTTGCCTGCACAAACTTTGCCCAACTAAACACCCCCAAGCATGCTCGCGTCACCCTCGGCTCCATAAAACCCTCAACACATCCGATCCTCGTGCGTTAACGAGCCACTGCTCTCTCTCGTATAGGTAATTCTAGTCGTTTTGATCAGGTCTAAGTTAAACATTGAGTATATAAATCATGAATAACTCTTAAATTATTGAGTTTAAAAATATGAAACCATAAAAGTACTTTCATAAAAAACATACATATATCACTTTTTAATAAATAAATATTTTTATAAAAATAAGAAGTTAAAGTTATGTTTTGGAGACCGTGTCGTTATCAAAACGACTTGAATTATTAATACGGAGTGAGTATATAAAGTTACTATTTTTTAAAGTCTTTGAGAACTATTTTCCCTTGTACACAGTTCACTCTACAGCCAAAAAACACATGTGCTAAACTTGGCATTCTATTAACGTAAGTACTTAGTAAACAATCTCAGTCTATTGTTGGCTTTATTGCTAACTACTAGTAGTAAACACGTTGGAGTAGAAAACAATGGGCGTCTAATAAATCATCACTCTATCCTCTAGCATAGATGCATGGGTCACCTACAACCTTGCTGTAACTTTTTATTTCCCGTAAAACTTTTTTTCTGCTTTGTTAGCAATTGATATTTTATAGGCGCAACAGAATTTAACATTAGTGATGCACATAGACGAGTCATCTATAACTGTGCATTGCCATTCGAAAACTGAAAAGCGTGGAAACATTCACTGAAGTTATACATCACCAAGTCATTAAAATTTTGTTTACTTTCTCTTCTATGTGTCATCATGAATATATATTTTTCTCTTCTATTACTTTCTTTGCATCCAACTGGCGGTCGCATTGGAATACTAACCGTTGAAGCATCTAGCAAACTACAAATGAGTCACCTACAACTTTTTTAAACTTCCTTTGCCCATAGACATCTTTTCACTTCCGTTGTTCACTTTGATGCCAACTAGTTTCCTATTGTCTGCTTTGCTGGCAATTGGTAAGCACACTAGAATTTGGAATTTAGTGGTGCACAGAGGTAAGTGACCTACAACTTTCAAACTTTCTTTGCCATTCAAAAAGTGGAAGAGAAGTTGTTGCTTAGGCCCATTTGGAAGGGCTTTGAGCAGCATTAGCTTCCCTTGACATTATTCATGGTACTATAGTATGAACTATTTTTCTCCAAAATTTACGTTAAAAATCCTCCAAATAGGAAGCTGATGAAGCCACTTTCTTCTAGCTCCACCTGATCCAACTCCATGTGGTACTGTAGTATGGAGCTAGAGACGATTTTTCTATTTTGTCATTTTCGGAGCCAACTATACTTTTGAGAATTGTTGCCACGCTCTCGTAAAGAAGAATCCATTGAGGCTCCATGTGCCAACTAGTATCACTATGGACTAGACTCAACCTAGTTGATAAATTCAGGATTTGATAGAATAGCCATGCAAGAACGAGTCAGCATTGTTGTTTGTTGCTATACCATTGTGAACAGTTATTAGAACCGGACCGGATTGGCGGTTCCACCAATAAAAGACCGAACCAAGCCTCGGCCAGTCCGGTCCACCTTAAAAGATCGGTAAGCAATCGAACCAGTATAAAACTGGTAAACCGATAGTTTTTTCATAGAAACCGATGTAAAACTGGACATTGAACTGAGAAAAACCAGGCGGCGAGGAGCTGCGCGTGGGATTGCAACGTGGAATGCGGGGGAGAGGAGAGAAAATGACCTAAGGCAAGGGGGTATTACGTTTGGGAAATTGGAGTTCGGGTTAAGGCTAACTGGTGGGTGTCACCCGTTTTGCAGAAAGGGCATACCGGAATAGGCCGCATGATGTTGCCACATGGGTCAAGGGTCGTGCATCCGGTCAAAGCAAGTACACACCGTGCAATGCAAGGTTCGATCCAAAAGCTCCGAACCATGCGTCAACCTACCGCCCCAGTCAGATCCACGTCGTGCACTGCGCCTGCAGCTGCACGGGCTTATCCCTTGCCTCCATGATCACTTGAGAAGGCAGAGGCCGCTGCCCTTCTAGGCTTCTACGGTTCTACGACTACGTTCGCTTTGCGTCCTTCAGATGCACATGTGCAACATTATAACCGAGCAGAAGGTTAACTTGCAGACGGGCAGAAACAATCCATCCACGAGTCACGACCATAGAAGGAGTTCAGAGGTAAACACCGTGATGGTTATTATTATTAGTACTGCTACATCGTGTCAGTTGATTCAGTCTGTATCGGCGCAGCAACTGAGACAAACAGAGTCAAAAGCTCAGGGAAGAAAACACCAACAGCCAGACGGCATCCGTATCTCGGTCCTCGGCAGAGCGGCCGGAACGATGCCCCATCTGGAACATACAGTACTCCATACAGCTACTGTAATTTACAGGTCGTCAGTCTCGCGGGGCAGCTTGGGCGCTCTTCAAAAAAATCGCCAGGCCACACGCGTGCGCGCGCTCATCACAAGTGAAGGACGGCGCGGATCAGCTTGCGGCCACGGCGTCAGCCGCCAGAGGACCCGAGTTCAGGAGCTGGCGGAGCCTGGGCGCACCGTGCTCCACGCGCCGGCCGCCGCTGCCGCCACCTCTCGATGGGCCTTCGACGTCCATCATCGAGAGGAAGTTCTTGACGACGCGAGCCGACGGTGGCGCGGTGGTCGTCTGGTGGCCTGCGGACGCTTCTTGGGTTTGGTCTGATGCACCGTCCGCTAGTTTCTCCTGTGATGTGATGTCATGTGAGGGGTTCGTTTCAGAAAGTGGGACATGTTCATTGTTCGAAGGAAACGGAATGTCGAGTAAGAGTTCAAGTATGTATGCCGTTAAAAGATGAAGTACCATCAGAGCCGCATTCTCCATTCTTAGTTTCTGGGAGCTTTCCGTTAGCTTGCTGATTTCGCTTCGGAGGGATGTGTTCTCTGCGGTCAGTAACTCTACTTTCCTAGCCAGCTCTTCAGTCTCAGCCTGAAACGACAGGAAAAACCAACATGAGCATCATGTAATAAAGGTTGGAGTTGAGCTATAACTGAGACGCCACAAACTCTACAAGCTGAATATACATACGTTTTGCTCTCAATAAGGGGGTGGCACAGAACTTTTCTGAAGTGAATAATTTCCGAAACAATTAATAGCATGGCTGACAAGGGCATCTTGGGTTTACCTGCTTCCTCAGCCTTGAGCGTCGGGCAGATTCCCTATTTGACTGCTTCCTCCTTTCACGCTTTGATTCCTTATCGTCCTGACAATACAGCAACAGGTATAAGTTCCAATTACTTCGAGCAAACCAAGAATATTTAATCCTATAAGTTGAACCCATTCTAGCAGCTCATAAGAATACCAATTAATTCTGCTCATAAAACAAAGCAGCAACCAAGAAACCCATTAAGATACTCTAGTGGCGTCTTTTTTACAAAGTGGAGAGGAGGATACCGAAACAAAGTTATCAAGCACTGTCAACCAGATCAGAAGGGGAGAAAAGCATAACCGTCCACTCCAAGTGTCACGTCAAACATACCTTAGCCGGCCATTCGGTTGATGTCGCACCACTAACTTTGAAGTCACTACCCGTGCTCACACATGGTTTCATCGTTGCATCTGGAATGTGCACATTGGGCAAAGTTGGTAATCTTCCTGATTCTCCTGGTTTATCATTAGTTGCCGAAACTCCACATGTTTCTGAACAAAAAAGGGGTGGAAATCAAGGCCCTTTTGACATATCATTGAAACTTACTGAACGATTGGTTCGATTTAACAAATAAGTTGATAAATAACAAGCAAGAGTTCTGGATCGCCTGACTGAAAATATGCAATTATCATGTATATATATAGACTATGTTTGATGATGATGAACGACATGATGAGTAGAGGAGTATTTCAGTAGAGTACCTGATGTAGTCCTATCATCTAAGTTCCTTTTCTTTGGCGTTCCGCTCATCTATAGAATGAAAAAAATGCTTACAGCGTCAGTGTTTCTTGGCTAACTCGGAACATCATGACACCATTGGCCACAGAACAATACCTTTTGGTTGTTTCCATAGCTGGATCCTTCTAGGCTGTAATCCCCACTAAATTCACAGCATCCAGATACAAAAGGACTCAGTTTACAGAAAGATAACAAACATGCCAGAAAGGTACACTTGCTATTTATTGGAAAATACTTCAGAAATATGATGTAACCACCTTGTTTTTTCACTGTTACCACTTGACACAGCAGTTCCATCAATTTCCTTCAGTTTCTTATTTAAACTATTATCCTTGCTGTTCACAGACTTAGCTGGCTCTGCACTCAACGGGTTTACCATCTTCAGACAAAAAATTATAAATCAGTCAACATATGTAATAAAATATAGTAACATCTTAGTTTAATTACTAAAGTATGAGCCAAAATAGAGATAAGTACACCGCAATGCCATACTTACTAGGGGCATGAAGGGATGCAGGAAGCCACCAGCATGTGGATATATTGCAGCATATGGTTTTCCAAAGGCAGCTGGTGGCATATTCTGCAAAGACGCTGGGAGAGGTTATAATTGTACAACACATGAAAATGTATACAGCATTTGATATATCAAGATTTAGCTTAAAATACCTGCGGACCCCACATATATGGTGGATGGACATGACCAGGGGGGGCTATTCCAGGGTTAAAGAATGCTGGTGGTAAGACCCCTGGGCCATAATATGCCTGCACCGATGGTCCTATGGTTTAGACAGTTGCTCAATAAGAAAGGGAAACTTGGTTTCAACGATAATCAGAAAACAAAATTCTAAGGCAGTAGACCAGCATAGTCGACCAATCAAGGCATGGATAAATAGCTGGCTGATCCTGCAAAACACTCAGCTTAATTAGACAGCAAACCTGCATAGTCGACCAATAAAGGCACATAACTAGTAAAGTTTCTTGAGAACACTATATATATGCTTGATTGCTGTCGGATGTAAAACCTTCTGTTACTTTGTAACAATGACACAGGAAAGAAAAAGAACACCTACAATACTAACCCTAGACGACATTTATACCAATAATAAAGCTTTAATGGGACTTTTCTATGCATTTGATTGTTTTTTTAGCCTTGGTTACATCCAATGATTGCAAAATCAGTAAGGAAAAGTGGAAAATAATGATTACTCAATGTATTTACCTTGGGTGGTGATGGTGCTTTTACTGAATTCTGAGTAACTACAGCTTCATCATGCCCCATGTTTTTTTTGTGAATGCCTGCATATTTTTATGATAGAGATGTGAGATTACTTAAGAAAAATATCATCTGCACAAATAAAACTTCCAAAATGTCCGCTTCATCATTCAGTGTATAGTAGTTATCATCAAATTGCGATTAGTTGTAAGCTCTCCACCATTTTTCTTCTTAATACAATGATGTGCAACTCTCCTACGTGTTCGAGGGAAAACAACATTTTGTAATTGTAGGCTTCGCATGAATATCCAACGCATCATTCCAGCTCAAAGTTCATTAAAAGAACCAAACTGCTACCATAGCTTTTCATGAATTAGATTACTCAATATGATATAATTATATCCCTAATATCTATGAACATACCAGAAATATGCAATAAGTTCGTGTAACTTGCTAGTCCATGCTTATCCCTGGTCCTTACAGGTCAACACTAAATATTTTTAGTGTATGTGCAGTAGAATCACAATTGTAAGATGTAACTGTATCCATTGGAGAATAGGTTAATTAAGCTTATCCAGATGGTGGGGTGCCTTATAATCTACCCGGTTACAACATTTAAATCATCTACGTTAAAAAAAACATTTAAATCATCTTGGGTGCCTACCTCCTTTAGTTTTGCAAAACACTGGTCATGTGCCCATTGCATCTTCGATCAAAATGATACATTTTTCACCTTAGGTGAAAAAGGTAAAAGGTGAAGTGATAGGCTAGATCATTTAACTCCGTGTTTACTCCGATGCATCTTAATTTCTGAAATCCACTTTAACTCCTCTCCGATGCATGAAGAAAATGAAACAAGCAACCAAGTGTGTGTATCCGATATTTTTAAAATGAAACAAGCAACCAAGTGTGGTGTATCCGATATTTTTTAGTGCACTGCACTTTTCACTGTATGACAGGACCACTGAAAAGTGGTAGAGCCTGATGAAGCCATCCTACTATCAAACTTTCGGCTGATAAATCACATCATTACTAATGCTGTCTTCTAAGGTAGGGACAGAAAAACTCGACAGTGGATGAGTGGAACTGTGGAAGTAACATCTGCTTGTTTCATCAGGCTGAAAAGTGATGGTTTTCTTTTCTATCATGTGATCGTGTCCCCGAATCAGTTAAGCTAAGTGGCATCCTCTTAAAAAGGCTGAGCTAATGCTATATCCTGCATTCAGTACCAATAATAACATGAGGAGTGCACAGCCACAGGGATGACAGACTAATCGAACTCTGTCCAAGACCACTACGACCGCCATTCAGAATCCTAAACAGCGTCCACGCAAAATCCCAGTTAAGAGCTGACTAGATCAGCAGTCTCGTCTGTCCAACGCATACAAAGGTGAGGTGACGACAAGGACAAGGACATCTTGTACGGGGACCAATTTTTACTTTCTTGACATCCTGTACGGGCACCAATTTTACATTCATCCGTATATAGGCTATAGGAGTAACGTGCTCGTTTTGAAGATTAGAGTGAATCACGCTACACCCACAGGCGTCATGTCCTAACCGTCACCAGCGAGCTGGCAACGCCAAAGCATGTAGATGTAGTAGCACCGATGCATGCTGCAAAGGCACGGCTACGCCTGTGAACAGGATCCTAAAGGGAAGCAGCGAAATTTCAGGGAGCAGAGCAGAGCCGACTGCAGCGTATCTCTCGAGCCTTCGCGAAGGTCACACCTCGCATGGGCGGAGCGGGGGTGCAACTGGAGAGCGCACAGCATTGCGTGGTAGTGGTAAGAAGGGGCAGGGAGATGGATCGAGCGTACCTGGAACCGGTGGCCGCGCCGGGTCGGGGACTCGGGGTCGAGGAGGCCTCTCGAGGATCGGCGGACGAGCCGGATGGGGCAACACGCACCGCCGGGGGGGCGGGAGGGACTCGGAAAGGAGAGGCGGCGCCGCGGTGGGGAGGCGATGCGAGGAGAGGGGTGCGTATGCCTATGCTATGCGTGCGACGGGGCGGAGCGTTTGATTTGGAGAAGACGCGAGTAGGCGAGTAGCCACAGGGAGGGTCGGAGGGAGGGACTAGTCGGCTAGTCGCTCGCGCGAGGTGCGCGAAAGGCGTAGCCACGTCACGGGGGCACGTGTTGGCGGCCGATAGCTGGACCCTGCCTAGTTCCTCTCCAAAACGTTAAATTTTTCAAGAGCTAATTACACAGCGGTTTAGGCGAAATCCACGAGAATAAATCTTTTGCTCAATTAAATTATGATTAGTGCTCTGATCGCAAAATTTTCGGCAACTAAACTGGGCCCTGGTGAGCGCGTGGCAGTCAGTTTGCCTGCATGGGGGCAGCATCGGTTGGTGTACCCGCCACAGGTCGCGTTCCCGATTTTTTACTACTGGATGGATGGAGTAAATAAATAGACAAACACGGTGTATTTCTGCGTACATACATGGGTCTCTCTTCCTGAATACACCGTAGTTCCCTTTTCCAACCTACGGAGTGTTTACCGTACTCACCGTTGGTTTGGCGAGGACGTATCGACATCTGGTTGGATTGGATCACGCATAATCTATTCCTATCGCTCACAAACACATTTGTCAATTGTTTGTTTCCAAAAAAAAACATTTGTCAATTGCCAAGTTCATCACAGCACCATTTACCCGCGAAACACACTTGTTAGCAATTAGCATAGCACCTGTATGAATGACCTGTGGGACCGTCGAGCACTAATGCCGGGCAGTTCGACGAGCGGTTGGGTCGGGAGCTGGTGCCGGTGGGATCGGTCATCGCGCATACAGACATCGGGCGGACTCTCTGCGACGCGACGCGAGCTGGGTTGGGTGGACCGGGGCCGGGAAGGGGGTGAGCTGTGCGGCCTGCGCAGCCCGACCACGGTGCGCGTGCTCCGCGTCACCCCTGTCGCGCGTCGCGTGCGCACGTGTCGGCTCGGGAGCCGGCCTACGTGTCCCGGCGGTTGCCTCACTCGAGGGCCAGCCGGGTATCCCAGTCATGTGAGGTGACGTGGTGGATGCCGCCCTCGCGGGCCCCGCCGGCCGCAGACCCGAGGAAGGAAGGAAGCTTCTCCACTCTGTACACGCACGCACCAAAGCCTGTTCGCTTACCGCCGTACTTTTTCAGCTATTTCTTTTTCTCTCACAACAAATCACAACAAATCAGTTAACATTACTTTTAGTCATGACTTATCAGTCAATCGAACAGAATATTTGCTATCAACGACGTGATCAGCTGAAACATCTTCTAGGTGCAACTCTCCGACCGAACGAGAAGTAAGGTCATGTTTGGATGCACGTGTGGAGTGAAATGGAATGAAATTTAATTTAATTCCACCTTAATCCACTTCAACACATGTAGATTGATATAAATACATGCGTATCCAAACGAGGGCTAAGATGAAATAAAATTGTCGAAACATAAGGGAGCTTTCCAATAATCCAATTTGGCAAAAAAAAATTAGATGCCTGGGACAGTAACAGAATTGCTGTCTAGTACGCTCCTTGGCTAGAAGGCTTTTAACCAAATATTCAGCCTGTTCGTTGGTTGGTTTTTGGCTGATAAGTCTGACCGGTGCTGGTTTGTTGTGAGAGAAAAATGATAAGTTATGGCTAAAATCAACAAACAAACAAGCTGATTGTATGTGGTTTACGACGTCGTTTGACTTTAATTTGCAGTTTAAACTTCTGTGTTAACGCTAACCAACTGAACGTTGCCGCTTAACTATGTAATGATGCCAGCCCGTAGGTCGCCGCTTGCCCGCTTATCACAAGATCTGACTGTTCATTTCGATATGATATGATGCGCCACGTACGTAAAAGATGACGACAAGACACGCGCATCGAGGTCGAGGTTCACCCTGTACATGGTCCGATTAAACCGGTTTGTGGTTAAAACCTAGTCCAATCCGTGAAAGAGGCTATGATTCGGTTTGGTATCCGTGGTTCACGGTTTAACCCGTGGTAGAAAAAAATACCCACCTTCTCCTTACGACTCCATCCCAATCTCCCGCACAGCCCGCCGCCGCCGCCGAGCTCAGCTTCAGCAATGGCGTGGTCCGCGGGCTATGTGGCCAACTCCTTCCTTACCATGGGCCGTCCGCACCCAGTCTGCGTCGTTCGCCTCTAGGCAGTCCGCGGCTCCGCGCCGGCGGCAGGGACGACGCTTACATAGGATGACTTGGAGAGAGGCTTGCAGCGGTGCACTACGTTGAGCAGGTGCAGGCCTAGATGGTGCTTGGTCTTGAGACAAGGTCCATGGTTGCCCTCCCGTCGTCGAGATCGGCGTGCTCCCTGGCCACCTGGGCGCGGATGAAAAGTCCTAATATGGCTAGAGGGGGGTGAATAGCCTATTTAAAAATCTACAAACCAACTAGAGCAATTTGATTAGTATAACAAATAGCGAAATGCAAACTTGCTCTAGCTTTACAAGGGTTGCAAGCCACCTATCCAACAATTCTAGTTGCTATGATCACTCAACACACAATTTGCTATGTCATTACTCACTAAGAGCTCTCACACTTGCTACACTAAAGAGCTCCACTAGATGAACTTAAACTACAAAGCAAGCTCTCAATTCTAGCTACACTAAAGAGCTTGCTACAACTAATTTACAAGAATATAAATGAGTGAGTAGGGTGATTATACCGCCGTGTAGATGAGTGAACCAATCACAAGAACACTAAATCAATCACCGGGAGAATACCTAAGGGTAAGAAACAACCAATTTTTCTCTAGAGGTTCACGACTTCCGGCAAGACGCTAGTCCCGTTGTGTCGACCAACACTTGGTGGTTGGTTCGGCTAAGAGGTATTGCACGAACCTCGTCCACATAATTAGACACCGCAAGAACCTACCCACAAGTGAGGTAACTGAATGACACGAGTAATCCACTAGAGTTACCTTTCGGCGCTCCACCGAGGAAGGCACAAGACCCCTTACAATCACCACGATCGGAGCCAGAGACAATCACCAACCTCCGCTCGATGATCCTCGCTGCTTCAAGCCATCTGGGTGGCGGCAACCACCAAGAGAAACAAGTGAATCCCGCAGCGAAACA